AGGGTAGGGGGGGGGCGATCACGCCGCCCTCTTATAAGATGCACACGAAATCGTGTAACAGGCGACGAGGACATAATAACACGACCCATTGGACTTTTGTTCGCACGACTGTCCCTTTTACGCCCGATAAGCGACCATTAGGCTCGTCCACGTAACTGTACACAAATGCGCGCATAGGAGAGCCGAGGGGAGAGTGCACTATTGCTACCGGCATTTTAAAAACTAAACAAGTCATGAAGTCCGTATTAAGAGGTGTGCGTTAAAGGAGGCAAACGAAAAACAAAGAGAACCGACCTTTTTTTATTATTCGCAGTGCAACGCGTGTAAATCTCGCCGCGCCAATTAGGGAAATTGTGAAAAAGCTAGGCGACTCTCGAAATTCTCGGGGGCAACGGGCGATATCGTCGCTGTATCACGCCATTCACCGCTGTTCGGCTTAATGTAGGTATGAAATAAAAAAAGAAAAAGGGCTGCTCAACGGCCAAGCAGAAATTTATTAGTCTTTACTGTGAAACTGTGCTTTGGATCGTAAATACCGGTGGAGCCGAGCTAACAACTGGCCGTTGTGCTGGAAAATTGTGCACCACTTCGTAAATCACTGAAATGGTTCGCGGGCAACGATCGCACGCAGCATTTTCGCCCGCATTTCGTTCGACAAAAGAGGGGCGCTTGGACTCTCCCGGAAAATGCCGATTAGCCGCGAGTGACCGCGGCCGAGCACTAAAGGGGTCCGGCGCTCGGCCCTGCCACACCGAGGATCCCAGAATTCCTCGCGATTAATTCGGCCGTACGGCCTCGTTTCTCTCCTCTCCTCTCCGCCGCTCTCCATACCGCTCCGCTCCTTCATCACTGCTCACCTCACCTCTCCTCTACGCTCATCGCACCCGCCGCTCGGAGTCCTTTCGCGGAGTCCTACAACGTCCCCATCCCTCCTCCACCACCTCCATCTCCATGTCCACCTCCATCTCCACCTCCATCTCCTCCTCCTCCTCCTCCTCCTCCTCCTCCTCCTTCACCCTGGCACGAACGCACTCCTGCATTAATGTGGGCACTACGTGTCCGCAGCTCCACCTTCACCACACATCGTCGGAGATGCTTATCGCCCTCGCTTTTTCTCCAGGGACCCGAAAACCCGTTCGAGCGTGCACGAAGGTCCGCAACGTAAACAGAGAAAGAGATGACCGAAGACAGAGGAGGAGGAAGGTCTCTCCCTCGGTGGAAAGCGGGTGCGCGTAAAGTGTCGTCCAAAGTCCTTGACAAGTTTCGTTCTCGGATCCCCGGTTCTTTTCACTCTGCTCGTGCGCAGTGGGGAATATTTGTATTCGTTTAAAAGAGGTCGAGGAGGACGGAGAAGGAGGACGATAATCGCGGCGAGGAAACTTATGTCAACAGCATCTTCTCAGCAATTTACGAACTAATCGAGCGAGCTATATTTATACTTTTTCAGGCTTGAATTTCTATATCACGGAGGTCGGAGTATCGGATGTACAATGGAGCCTGTGAGGATTCGATGATACGGACATTCGTCCCTCACATTGTTGCTTACGATTCACTTACTCGTAGTTACGATTCTATCCGTCCACAGACCCCGGCCACTTATCCCCTAACCTCTTTTAATGAGAATCTTGATTAAGAAAATATGTCAAAGAAATTACGCGACTACGAGTGTTTGGGCCCCCGTATGGGCAATTGGTACATCATACGCGGGCTCGCGTTATGCGGCCCAACGATCCGACCTGGCGTCCAGGCTCAAAAGTCGCGCAAACATTCCGCAATGATTTAGTCTCGGTGTATCCATGTATCGTAACGATTGATGATCACACTTACCATCTGGACATGTGCATTTGTAGGTGAGCTTGTCGATTTGGTGGCAGACGCCTCCATTTTGGCACGGCGACGGGTCGCAGGGGATGTACTTGTTTTCGCAATTCTGGCCGGTATATCCGGTGTTGCACATACATCTGAAAGAAAAGAAAACGGTTGTGAGATGATAATGTCGTTCTCCTCTCTCCACCCTCCTCCCTCCTCCCATATTCAATCGACACTCCCATTTGCCTCGCCAATCCTATACGAATACAGCTTCAACAGACTTTTCCTCTCTACGAACTCTACGCCTTTGCTCGCTGTACATACGAATATTGCTAAATAATTTCACGTTTATCCCCGTCTTAATTATAAATGCACAAAGCAATTGCAAGGCGGCGATTCACCGAGGCAATCGTAAAACTCTATCGTATCGAATGCTATCGTATCGGATCACTTTAAGAGATTGTCGACGTAAGTGGAGGAGCCTAGTTGCGTACACAGTCTATATTTATTTTATTTACTTATACAATCATTATTTACAAGATAATTAACATACTGATGTTTATATGCCAGGCGTATGTGTGTGTGTGTGTGTGTGTGTGTGTGTGTGTGTGTGTGTGTGTGTGCGCGCGCGTGCAGTATGCAGGTACAGTTTTGTAAAATGGTGGAGAGTATCGAGATTCGAAACAGTATTATTTTTCTGGTAGAATTTTTTTTTTTTTTGCTCGTCAAGTGTGTGGAAGAATAAAGGAATAAACCGATAAGAGATAAGCCATACTTCCGGCCACGGCTGAAACTAAGATCCTCGCGTGTAGCCGTAGCGTGCGAATATAAATATAATATAATACGGCGAGTTGGTGCACGAGTTGTGAAATTAGCCGGGGAAAATATTGCGAAATTTGGAGTCGATGAAGCAAAATAAGAAAATAAGAAAATAAAGGCAAGCCGAATGAAGAGCGGCGCTGTTATCGCGGAGAGGACGTTTAAAGAAGGCGCGGACGCGGCTCCTCTATATCGCCACTATATCGCCTTACAAGCAAGCGTAGTGTTGGATTACACCAAAGTTGCACAGAAAGCGGCGTAATTTTCAGGTGGAATTGTTGGTGCGTTCCGAGTAATTCTTCTTTCGAGGCGACGATTTGGGGATTAGTCGGGGCGGTGGAAGGGGTGGGACGAGGCTGGTACTTTTCGAATATACCGCTCTGTTTAGATAAATTTGACATGGGACTCGAATCGCGTCGATAGTTTGCGTCAAAAGTCTTTTTTTTTTTTTTTTTTTTTTTTGGCTAGACTTAGTCATTTCTTGAATTGAAAAAAATATCCAGAGCCAAGGTATTGTGATTAATTAGTTGTTTAATAGCGCAGATATTATCTAACTTCGCTCCTTCCACTTGGCCATGATTTTTTTCTCTATTACGAATTTTGTTTTTATCGGGAGACGGGCTTTTGTATTTTCATATAATAGAGAAATAATCGTTTAATAACGTCCCCTACACTCGACTAATTTTTCAATATGAAAAAGGCTTTTGTTATTAAGCACTTTATGTACATTTGATGAAAATTAGGCGAAATGGGCTTTGGAGAAGGGGTAGGAGTTGAAAGAAGGATGGAACGTAAGTACGAAGTAATTGATTTTGCTCCCATTATCAACGAATAAGTACTCGCGGATAACTAAAATGCTTAGATGAAAAATTTTATATTTTCGAAAGGTTGTGGCGTTCGTATGTCGGCATAATGCAAACTACGATGTGATTGGATATGATTTTGCATTATTCGTGTCTGGTTAAGTATCGCTTGCAATTTGAAGCAAATGGAGTATCGACTTTCCGTACGATCCCTTGGAGTAAATGCGGGAAATCGACGGCGAGTATCATTTTTCTCGTGTCGTTCGTGCAAGTTTGTTGTTAAAGTAGAAAAAAGGGAGAAAGAGAGATGAGAAAAGAGAGGAAAGAAAGAAAATATAAATACACGCGGGCTCCGCGAAATTTCATTTTAGTACTCTAACATCTGTTATGCGGCCGTAATTTTTGGCGATATATATTGTTCAATTATAAAGGAAAATATTGCAAACTTCACACAGCAATTTGCAAATTTTTATGGTACTAACTTTTTCATTGTGCTTTAGTAAACTATTAAATATCATAAAATATACACTATAGGCTTCCGTATTCTTATTCGAGTGGCCTGATGTTTTATTAGGAAATTTAGCGTTTTCGAAATAGACGCGGATTATAAAAATTATAGACATTTGAAACGATGTAGTAAAATTGTGCGTTGATGGTATAATTTAACATTTACATTTTTATTCCAACGATCGAATTTCATTTCAATTGAATAATATCTCATTGGCTGTAATTACAACGAGCGATTATTTGTTATCGTTGCGTTAATTATTAAATGGGTCGTAGTAATGAAATTGATTTAAAAAAAAAAATAGCACTTTATATGGTCGTTTGGCGACATGTCGATTCAAAACCTTGGCTTACCCAAATCCTCATCCCCATTAAAAAATTTAACTTATCTTTCTTCCTCGACCCCTACACCCCCCCCCCATCCCCATCGCCATCCCCATCCCCATCCCCATCCCCCTACATCCCCCACTGCTACACCTCGTGATCACGTACAATATTTATACTTATTATACTTTTAATAAACGCATGTTTTTGGCTTAAGAACAATCACGAACGTTCGATATTCTAATAAATACATTGGATTTGACGAGAAGATTAAATAAACAATAAAACAAGAAGAAAAAAAAGAAAAAAGAATAATACCAATATACAAGTCGCGTGTTCAAACACAATTTTCAAGTTCCAATCGAAACCAACGTTCGATAAGTATCGATCGGATGTCGATACCACAGCAGCATCACTTTCTTTAAATATCGTTGATCGACACACGAGCGATTGTCACATGTTTCGAAAGCAAGGACGACGAAATGTGCCCGACGAGCTAACCAATCGCACGCCAATATCTCCTCGTAGAAATGAAATCCCGTCAACCGTCGCGCGGTTTTGCAAACAACGATTAACGATAATTAAGGGGGACTTTGCCGGGTGACGCGCTTTCGGTCGTCGCGTGAGAAAAACATGCGAGGGATTAATGGCTAGGCGACCGGGACGACCGGGACGACCGGGAGCTCGAAATCCCGGACAGATCTGCTGCGCAGAAAGTGGTTGGGAAAAGGGAGGGAA